CTTTCTTCCTCTCTGTGTTCTCTGTGTTTTGTTGTTGTTTGTTTGTTTGTTTTATTTTGGAGACAGAAGTTTTCTGTAGCTTTTGAGGCTGTCCTGGAACTCACTCAGTAAACCAAGCTGGTCTCAAATTCACAGAGATCTGCCTGTCTCTGCCTCTGGAGTGTTGGGATTAAAAGCACTCACCACCACTGCCCAGCTCCCTCCTTTCTTACAGAAAAGTTCTCACACTGCAGCCCAGGTGGGCCAAGAAATTACTACATAGCTCTTTCTTCAGCCTTCTAAGTGCTGGTATTATAGGTTGAGCCAGCACATGGCTGAATTTTATTCCTCCCTTGGCATCTTTGCATTGTGACATTGTCCCTGCACATTAATCTTTGTGTATCTTACCAGGCTCATCTGTACTGTGGGAACCTAGTGAGATGATCCATGTAGTTACTGGTGTCCCACAGCTGCGGTACTACAATAAGTCTCTGTAGGGAGGAGAAAGGGGAGGTAGATGCCAACATGGAGTGGAAACTCTGGACATTGGCTGCTTGATAGATAGTACCTTGATAGACATTGGGTTTCTCACAATGATTCTGTACATTAGATATCATTGTTTTTGTTTTTATAGAGGAGGGAACTGAAAGTTAGCAGTGGCAGCTTTCACTAAGTGACACAGGGAATAATGAATTTAGCAAACCAGGCCAGGCCTGTCTTAGGCTGGTGTGTGTACTGTCTGCATTATCGTGTGTTACAAATTGCATCCTGGCCTCTCTTTGTTCCAAGGTTCACTAATTGTGTGCATGTGTGCGCTGGTTAACTCATTCATCCCTCACATCTTTATTTCTTTCTGGATGTCAGACTGCTAGATGCTGTGGATATAGCCATGGCCCTGTCCTCCTGGAATTGAAGTTTGGTAGGGAGATGGCCAGAAAATAGCAAGCAAGAGTATAATTAAACCAAGGCCCACTGCAGTCAGTGACCTTTGAGAAATGTTCTGGTGCTTAAGAAAGAGGATAACACAGGTCAGTCAAGGCTCCTAAGATGTTTAGACAAGGTTTTAGAAAGGCAGCCAGAGATGGGAGAAGGGAATTCTGGCTGGAGGAATTCATGGCTATAGGTTCTGAGGCAGCAGAGAGCTTACATAATACAACTGAGAGAAGACTTCAGTGGTGAGCCTTGGGACCAGTGATGCAAAATGGGAAAGTTCAGGTGGGCAGGAATGGTTCAGCAGAACCTTGTGGACATGTAAGGAGTGGGATTATTCCAGTGTGGTCAGAGGTTTTTGTAGGGCTTCCTATGGGGGGGGAGGAGGGGCCCGCAGTAGGGAGGGGTGGTGATGTGATATGGTTTGCTTTGTAGGATTCTGTCTGCTCTGGAACTAATTCTTGACTAGGCTGGCTTTGAACTAAAAGATTTGCCTGTTTCTGCCCTCTCAGTGCTGAGATTAAAAAAACTGGGTGTGGCAGGGGATTGCCTGGAATCCCAGTTACAGAGGCTGAGACAGGAGGATCCTAGGGCTGTCTGGCCATGCAGTGTAGCGAATTGGTAAGCTCTCACCCAGTGAGGGCCTCTAAAAAACAAGGTAGATCTAGATGTGGTTGCCCTTAATCCTAGCATTTAGAGGCAGAGTAAGGTGGATCTCCATGAGCTTGAGGCCAGCTGGTCTATGTATCAAATTCCAGGCCATCAGGGGCTACATAGTATCAAAACAAATTAAAACAAACACAAAAATGAGAGAGCCATAAAGGAAGACACCAGATGTTCGGGCTTCATAGACACATTGTGATCACAGAGAAACACAGTTGTATTTAGAGTCTTACTTTTTTTGTTCTTGTTAGTGAAGCATGCATGCTGGGGGGAGCTTTCTATCATTGAGCTGTGTCCAAGTCCTTTCAGTTTCATTTTAGTACAAACTCTGTGTGTGTGCACCCGTGCATGCTTGCGTGCGTGTGTGCGTGCGTGCGTGCGTGCGTTTGTGTGTGTCTGTGTCTAGTTTTGAGTTCTCTCAAGTTGTGGGAAGATATTTGGGACATGTTTTAATGGGAGTTAAAGAAGGATACATAGCTGGCAAGTAGAGGGAATGCTGGAGGAACAGGTTGTCAGGAGGCTGAGGCAGGACAACTGCACGGTGAGATTATGAAATAAAGTTGTACCTGTGAATAATATGGTTTCTCGTGTATCACCTATGCTTCGGCTTTAAAAAGAATTGAAAGTGGATGTTGCTATATCGAATTTGTCATTTGTAACTTGAAATAGTGCTGGAGAGTACCCCAAACCTAAACTTTACAAACTTTGGCAAAAGTATCTACTAGTGAAAATATAATTTGTATGCTGACACTGATGTATAAATAACTTATAAGTTATGTCCCATTAGGCAAGGCAATATTTTTAGTGTTGAGAATACATTCCAGATTTACTTTGTGTGATTGTTGTTGTTGTTTTTGGTTATTTTGAGATAGGAGCTCCTCCCATGTCCTAGGGTGGCTTTGAACTCACATTTCCTCCCGCCTCAATGTGTGATTTTTATTGAAGTTTTAATTCTTTTTCTAGTAAATACTTGCTGAGTAGAAATGTGATAAGACTAATCAAGATGGTTGGGGGGGAGTTTGAAGGTGGATCACTTGGCTAACATATGTGTTGGATCCCTAACTCTGAGAAAAGAAAAGATCTTGCAGGGGCATTTGCTATTAATTCAAATGGTTAGAAAAATTACAATAAAAATGGTATTAGCTGTTAAGGCCTTTTTATTCTTAGTTTCTTAACTGTGAAAATCCTATTAAATAAGCAAAATATTACCTTACTACATGTATGAAGTATGTATGTTATTACATATATGAAGTGGGGGATATTATTGTCCTTAGGAAAAAAAGTTTATTCTAAACTGTTATCTGATGTTTTGTACCACCAAAACTTTAAGAGCATAGCTAGGTCTTCTGGTTAATGTCAGCTGTGAACTTGGCTGAGCCTAGGGGCATTGGTCTGTGGGGTATTCGGTTGGTTGTTAATTGTTGTGGAAGGCTGAGCAGGTGGTCCTGGCTTGTATAAGGATACCATGGAGCAAGCCAGCCAGCAAGCAGCTTTCCTCTGTGCTTCCCGCCTCAGCCCGGACTTTCCTCGGTGGGGGACTGTAACCTGTAAGAGTAAGTAAACATTTCCTCCCCGGGTTGCTTTAGGTCATGGTGTTTATCACAGCAACAGGGAAGCAAACCAGAGCAGCAGGGTAGAGAAAGCTATAAGAAAGGTGACGACTATTAAGTGACACAGCTGTAGCCTGTGGAAAAATACTTTATGCAGTAATTCTGGACATTTGGTGTGATCGTGTGGTCTTTGACATGGGTGATGTAATGACACTTTCTGAATGAATTCTTATTGCCTTCAGAAACAAGAGTATAAACAGGACATTATTCTGGGTGAAGAGGGAAGCAGATATTCTGATAGGGGCCTGCCAAGGCCTGAAGTTTGGGCATGCAGCACTACTTAAGTGATCAGAGAGACATCTGAGGTCAAGCAGGAGCATGCCAGAGGCAAGGCTGAGAGAGAACCATGCGGGGCTTAAAGATGACAGAGGCCACCCTCCCTGGGGAAAGGAGTGGGGATTGGGGGAGGGGGGTGGAGGGTTTGGTGGGAGAGCATGGGAGAAGGGGATGGAGAGGGAGAGGGACCTGGGTTTGACATGTGAAGCAACCTTGCTTCTAATTTAAATAAAAAAGACATAAAAAAGAACACATGTGAATGAATGTCCCACACAAACTAAGCAAACCTGTGCTACTTACCTACAGATTAAGAAATAAAGGAATAACAAAGTGACTTTGAAAAAAAAAAAGGTGGCAGAGGCCAGAGCTCACCGAGGAGTCTGGCTGGGCTAAGAAGAAAGGGCTAGTGACTAGCATTTCACTGTCAGAGGTTTGAAGCCAACAGCAGGAGCTGTTATGACCCATGGTGGTAATTGGACCCTGACTCCCTCACATTGGGTGACTAAGGGAGCATGTAGGTTAGAGGGACAAAGGCCAGAGTGGGTCAGGTAGATAGTGTTAAGGTTGGGGCAGGTCTGCTTAGAAGGAGATTCATGGGAAGTTTGCCTGTGCACCGAATGCTGTTGGAGAGTTGACCTAAAGTCACAGTAACTGTGGGCCTTGGGCCAGCATTTGGGTTGCTCAAAGGGCCAAAGTCATGCTTATTCTTAACTTGCAATTTTAGGAATTCTGTCAGCTAAAGCTTTGCTGTACCACTCAGAGTAATGAAGTTGAGAGGGTCATGAACCACGATGGACCTAACCATCACTAGCTAGCTTTCGTTCTGCGTTTAGGGATCACCAGATATATTCTTTGAACATCGTTTTGCAGTATTGCCTTTGGTGGAGCCTTCCGATGCACGTTTGGTTTATGAGGCACTGAGTTCCTTCACTGTATCGCATCGTATGGTCCCTCCCAAAGTCTATTTCTGAAGACAGGCATTAGCCTGCAGGAATTTTAATTAAGCAATAGGAAGGAGTGAGTCTTATGTTCAGGGAAGAGATTTTAGTATTCCCCAAGCACCAGCAATTTAGCACACCCGTTTATCTTCAGCTTTCCTTATGTCTCAAGAGCTATAGGCATTTGCGGCTGTCAGCTGTCTTAACATTCTTTATGTACATTCTTTATGCCTTTCGTTCCCAATATTTGTCTAGGGTGGCCAGCACTGTCTGGCTTCCACTCGGTTCTTTTCTGTGGAAAGTTGTAGCGTGTATCTACAGACACGTCACCATTTGCTTGTTTCTCTCTGTTTGCTTGGTTTTTTAGGCATCGTTTAGTATACATAGGGTTTACCTCATCCACTGCCTCTGAGTGTTTACTTCCTTTGTATCTTTTATAAATCTGTCATCTCTGCAAATAATTTGGTAAATTCCTTGATAGATTCTGCTCCTTTCTTTGTATCTTGCTTTTTTGCATGTTATATAATTATCTGTTAAGAAACAGGTTTTTTTTTTTTACATTTTTTTACGATTTTTGATGCAATGCAACTTTACTTTTTCACAGGGCAAACTCAGAAAATGAACCTCTTTCAGTCAATAACAAGTGCCTTGGATAACTCATTGGCCAAAGACCCTACTGCAGGTAAACTTTTTGTTTGTTTGGTTTTGAGACAGGGTTTCTCTCTGTCTTTGGAGGCTGTCCTGGAACTAGCTCTTGTAGACCAGGCTGGTCTCGAACTCGTAGAGATTTGCCTGACTCTGCCTCCTGAGTGCTGGGATTAAAGGCGTGCGCCACCATGGCCCAGCGACTGCAGGTAAACTTAATGCGTGTATGCAGCTCTGTTCCTTCCAGAACTGGAGACCTGAGCGAATCATTAAAGCAAAAGGAGCTACTTGGAGTGTAACACATATTTACTCCACTTACGTCTGACACATGTCTCTGGTATATCTTTGTTAACTAGCTCTTCACAGCATGTGTGGTCCCCTTATCATAGGTTGGTTTCAGACTGACACCTGTTGGCTACTCCTGTGTGTAGGAAAAAACAGGAAATGCCACTTGGTTTAGATAGTTATATAATAAAGACTTGATTTGTATAGATATATGGTTGTTTTTACAGTTTCATAAGTAACTTGTGCCTATTTTTTTTTTTTTTTTTTTTTGGTTTTACGAGTCAGGGTTTCTCTATATTGTTTTGGAGGCTGTCGGTCCAGCCTGGCTTCGAACTCACAAGAGATCCGTCTGCCTCTGCCTCCCGAGTGCTGGGATTAAAGGCGTGTGCCACCACCGCCCGGCTACTTGTGCTTATTTTTAAGTTTTATTGTTTTTATTATGTGTGTGTGTGTGTGTGTGTGTCTGTGTATGGGTACAAGTGGCCGTGAGGGGCTAGAGGTGTCAGATCTCCCTGGAGGTGGAGTTACAGGTGGTTGTTAGCCAACTTATGTGGGTGCTGGGACGCAAGTTTGGTTCCCATGCAAATTCAGTGTACACTCTTAAATGCTCTATTCTAGCAACTTAATCTTGATATTGCTGTGTTTTTAAAGTTTGGTTGACTTTATATATACACTTACATGTATATGTGTATGTGTGAATACACATGTATGTATTACACATACACAGGATTATTTGTACATATTTATACATGCATATATGAATTCTGCAAAAAAGGTTTATGTATGTATGAATATATATACATACCACATTTGTATTACACAGATATGAATATGTATATGTATATGTATAATTTCAAATCTAAATATTTAAGTTCCTTGTTTTTCATGACTTAAAATTTAGGGATTGATTACTAAATATATTGTTTGAACATGATTTTTCAGTAATATTTGGTGAAGATGTTGCCTTTGGTGGAGTCTTCCGATGCACTGTTGGTTTACGAGACAAATATGGTAAGTTAGGAACTATATCAAGAGTACTCTGGAGTGTTTACTCAAAGATCTTGAAAATATAAAACATGTCTGTAACATTGCTGTATTATTGCTTGGTTTGGCTCCTTTTATTTTGGCAACATGCTGCAGAGTTCTATGACCTGGATTTCTCCAGATTTGTTCTAACTAGAATCTCCTAATGTGCCGGGTGGTGGTGGTGGTGGCGCCTTTAATCCCAGCACTCGGGAGGCAGAGGCAGGTGGATCTCTGTGAGTTCGAGGCCAGGCTGGACCGAAAGCCTCCAAAACAATACAGAGAAACCCTGTCTCGTAAATACCAAAAAAAAAAAAAATCTCCTAATGTACTTTATATCACATGTATCATAGATTGCAAAGCACAATATGTTTCATGACATGAATTGTCACATCATTCATTTATCCAGTAACCTTGGACTTCCTCTTGCCACCCACCATAGCCAATCTAAGCCATATTGTCTCTAATTCAAGATTCTGCCCATTTGTCTGTGTTAGTAAAAATGTGTGTTTTTGTTGCTGTTGTTGTTGGTGGTGGAAATTTAACTTCTATTACAGCATTACATGGTTGTGGGGGCTTGGCTACTCTGTAGGGAAACTCAGGCAGGATTCCTATGGTTCAGACTTGACGCCAAATTCAGTTTTGTTTGGGAAATCTGATTTAAAACCTTGGGATGACTAGAGAAAGCCCACTCCATGTTGTGAAAGTGTCTGTCACTTTACTTAGAGCCAATGACTTAAAAGTTATTAATATCTAATAGATAGCTCTGCAAAACAGTCTAGACCCGTGTTTGACTAAACTTATCGCATTATAGCCTGGCCAGGTTGGCGTTAAAAGTCACCACTGTGTAGCGTCCTTCCTCTGAGGTCACAGCTGCTTTGTGTCTTGCTTGGCACATGATTCCTTTTGACATGCTGCTTTCATTGTCTTTTCACTCAGGTAGAACTACGAGAATGGACTTGCGTGTGTCCACCCTTGTTGTTAATAGCTCCCCTGTGGTTCTGAGTGTTTTATTTCTTCTTTCACTCTTGCCTAATTTCAGAGCGAGCAAGGCTGGTACATTTAAGGCATAGGAGGAGTTGATATTGCTCGAGTCTTACACTCCTCTGCCCTGGAGTGCTCAGGTCTGTTTAGGATGGGCAGTGAGGGCCTTTAAGAGTTTCAGTACAACTATTGTGTTAATATTAGTTTTAGATGTATTACATTAGTTTATGCTGTGGAATATTTGTTTAACGATGCAAAGATGTGTTGCATTCTTTTATGTTGCATTTGTTTAACTCTGCGAAGCTGTGTTACTTTGCCTTCCTAAAACACCTGATGGTCTAATGAAGAGCTGAACAGCCAATAGCTAGGCAGGAGAGGGATAGGTGGGGCTGTCAGGCAGAGAGAATAAATAGGAGAAATCTAGGCTCAAGAGAAGGGAGGAACCAGAAAAGGAGAAGGGGAGGAGGACACCAGGGGCCACCCAGCCACCCAGACACACCCAGACACACCCAGAGACACCCAGAGACACCCAGAGACACCCAGAGACACCCAGAGACACCCAGAGACACCCAGAGACACCCAGAGACACCCAGACACCCACCTAGCCACCCACCCAGCCAGCCAGCCAGCCACCCAACAAGCCAGCCATGGAGTAAGAAAGAAAGATATAAAGAATAAAGATAAGTAAAAAAGCCTAGCGGCTCAAAACATAGAGAAATGTGATAATATAAGTTAGAAAAGCTGGGTAGAAACGAGTCAAACTGAGGCCAGGTAAGTAACTATAAGTCTCCGTGTATCTATTTGGGAGATGGGTGGTGGGCCCCCAAAGAGTTAAACAAACAAGCGAAAAGCAGCTACAATTGTATTTCACTTTCGCATCATTCCTGCGGTACGTGGTGTCATGGTCCATGTGATGTATTGAGAACACTGAGTGTGTTCTTGTGTCTCTCAGTGATAACTGGGTTCCGGTTCTCATCTTCCTCCTGACCGTGTGTTCTGTGAGCTGCTGAGAGACAGAGAAAGTTGGTCAAAAGGCTGTGTTCCATACTGTAGACTCCTAGAAACTTTTATATTGTTAGAAAAAAGAATGAAAGAAAACTTTGGTACATTTGATTTCAGAGAAGGGCCCATATATTGTGGACTATTTCAGGAAGTTAGGGAAACATGAGGGAGAAAGTAAATAGTGCTCAGGTATTTCCAGAGGTGATCACTGGGGAGCATCTGAGTACTTGCACTTCTGGAGCATATTTGCGTAGTTCCGTATATATTAATATTTAAAATGCAGAATTTTACTTTTATAACTTGATGTCTTCTCTGTGTGGTGCAGTAGCATGCTCCTGAGGGCAGTCCCTTCATGTCTGATTTCAGTGTGCTGCATTTAAGCTAGAGGGAGTTTTCTGGCTTTTCCCACAAGTTCACATGTGTGATTCTTTACTGCAAACACTCTGTCTGGGGCATTTCATCCATATTACCTGCTGTTGACAAATTTCTGCCTCTAATCTACACCTCTTCTCTGAGCTTGAGAGACAAAGAATCACTGTTCTAACCCAAACGTTTATGTTAAAGACCCACATTGTTGGATGTATCTTGAATGTTAACTTGAGTTCGGATCACCTAGGAGGCACACTTCTGATGCCATTTCACTTCTCATTTAACTGAGGCGGGAAGACCCACCTTGCATGAGGATGGTACCGTTCCATGGGCTGGAGTCTGAGCTCGAATAAAGGAGGAGAAAGGAGAAAGAGAACCGAGTATTAGGATTCATCGTTCTGCTTCCTGATGAGATGCTACACTAGCTCATGCTCCTGCCGCCATGACTCCCTTACCGTAACGGGCTGTGGCTCCTCAAACTGAGTCCAGACAAAGGGGGCTCTTCTTCAAGTGGCATTTTGTCAGGTGTTTGGTCATGGCAAGAAGAAAGGTGGTGGTTGTTTTTTTACTCTTGGGCTCTTTTGGGGTCTTTTGAGGGGCCTGCCACCCAGCTCCCAAATTAATCACACACGGAGTCTTATTATTACTTATGAGTGCCCATAAGTGATATAACTTAGCTTGTTTCTATCCAGCTTTTCTTAATTTATCCTATCTACCTTTTCCCACTGGACTTTTTCTTTCTTTCCTTTTTACTCCGTGTCTGCCTGGGTAGCTGGCCTCCGATATCCTCCTTCCCTTGTTCTCTTGTTGCTCTCTTCCTCGTTTCTCCCTCTGTTTATACTCTCTGCCTGCCTGCCCCGCCTATCCTCGTTCCTGCCTCCGTATTGGCTGTCCAGCTCTTTATTAGGACTGCCAAGTGTTTACACAGGCACAGTAACACAACTTCACAGAGTTAAACAAATATAGCATAAACAAAAGTCACAACCTTAAAATAATATTCCCCCACAGAAAGGTAACCAACCAAGTCATTTAGAATGCAGCATTTTAAAAGGTAAGCTCAACACACACTTCTGAGTCTACATCTCATGGAATGTTTCCTATTTTGGTGACTATCACATCCAGTTAGTTGCTCAAGTCAGAAACCCATGAGACTCTAGCAAATTCCTTTTTCATCCTTCCTGGCCCACACACCCTACAGTTTTGCCTTCCTGCTTAGCGTTAACTTGGTTCCTCCTTTCCATACTACCATCGAATTTCAGGGTCTTGGATTTTTCTCTTCCTGGACAATTTCACTTCTAAATTACCGGTCCTTTCACCTGACCTCCGTCTGTCCATTCCCTGCCCATTTCAAGTGCCATCACTCTAAAATGCACGTTTTTCAGCAGAATTGACTGAAGTCTTTATAATGTAGCTAGCTAGGTACCTGACCACACCAACTCTATTCCTTAGAAATCTTCAGTTACAGGAGTGCCACTCCCTCCCTGCCCCACTATTGGCTTTTGTGCACATCATCTGAATCTCTTTACCCTCACCTGATTATCTAGCCAACGTCTTGTTTTCAGGTTTGTCTGTGACACTCTTCCTAACGCCCCAAGAAGACTCACTCTTTTGCCACTGTATCTTTTACACCTGTGAATTACATTCTACTTGTCTCTTCTTGGTATTTACTTCCCATCTCTTCACGAATGAATAGGTCTTTCATCCACCCATCTAACTCCAGCATGGTGTCAGGTTTCGCCATAGCTCCTGTGCCAAAAGCTGCTGTGGATTTTCACTTGGAAGTATGAGTTCAAATCTCTAAAAAGCCTCACTTGAAAATGATGGGCAGTCACTGCCTTGGTCAAGCTTCTGTTTTTAGAACTGACGGTTAATGAGGATGCTGGAGAGAAATATATATATGAAAATAGTTTTTCTTATGCTTATAGAAATATTCATATTTGATTCATGGTACCAAAAAAGGGGAAAAAGTCCACAAAACTAGTTTCACTTTATTTTATAACATTAAAAATAATTTATAAAAACTGAAAAGTTATAATACAGTTGAAGACACTGTTGAATAATGAGCTGGCTGTGTTGGTAGTCTTGTCACCTTGACACAAGCTCGAGGTATCTGAAAAGAGGCAACCTTGATTGAGAAAAAGCCCTCGTCAGATTGGTCTGTGGACACACCTGTGGGGCATTTTCTTGATTAATGGTCAGTGTGGGAGGGTAAAGTCCATTGTGGGCGGTGCCATCCCTGGGCAAGTGGTCCTGGGTTGTGTGAGAAAGCAGGCTGAGCAAGTGATGGAGAGCGAGCCACTAACCGGCTTTCCTCCGCAGTCTCTGCTTCAGATCGTACGTCCAGGTTCCTGCCTTGAGTTCCTGCCCTGACTTTCCTTCATGAGGGACTTAACTGTAAGGTGAAACAAACCCTTTCCTTTCCAAGTCACTTTTGTTCACAGTGTTTTGTCACAGTACTAGAAAGCCGACCAAGATCCCCAGAAACCCTCTTCCTATTCTGGGAAGTCTGGTGCTGGAAGACTCATGGCCTGTAGGTGGCAGCCTGTGCTTTGCAATGAGAGTTGGCCCTCTGGGTATTGTACTGGTCTGGAACTGTGGCCAAGGAAGTGAAGGTTGAAGTTCTGCAGGTTTAC